TGCCGCGGCGGGACGGGGTGCGGCGGGGCGTGGCTCGGCTCGGCTCGGCTCGGGGACGTCTGGCTGGACGAGCCACTTTGGTGGGGAGCGACCCCCTGCCACGGCCTGCCACGGCCTGCCACGGCCTGCCACGGCCTGCCGCGGCCTGCCACGGCCTGCCACGCACCGCCACACCCCGACCAGGAGGCCACGCGTGGCGCAAACGCGGGTGACGCGCATTCTATGAGCTGGGGCAAAAGTCTTCAAGGGATTGTCCCTCCCCTTCCCACCCAGCTCCTCCTACCTTTCCCCTTCCACAGCTACACGCCACCTTTCCCCCCTTCCCAACCCCTCCTCTACTTTCCCTTTATCTTTTCCTCAGAGCCGGGCGCGGCACGCTGGGGAAAAAAAGAATACAGGGGAACTTCAACCGAATTACATTTGCAATGTAATTTTCTGCTGACACTCGGCGGCGGCGACGGCGCCTTGCGGCTGACCCCGGAACGGCCTGGGTCCCGAGTCCCCCGCCCGCAAAGGACCTCCAAGTACCCAGCGGCAAGCCCAATGCTCCAGCCTTGGGCCCACCACGCCACACCGTGGAAGCTCTACTCTCGCCATTGGCACTTTTCTTGTTTCTACTCCGAGTGCATACAGGGGGAGGGGGGCGATTGCTTCTGCCTCACTACCGCTCCCTCCTCCTCCCCTTTTCTCACCTTGACGATCCCCCACACCACACACTATCCTTCCCTTCCTTTCCATTCTCCCTTGCACACCCCACACCTCTCCCTGACCTCCTCGGGACGGCCGCCGCCGCGCAGATAGGCAACCGGGCGCCGGGCCACGCACCGCGGGCGCCGGGGTTGCCTATGCGTTAGGCGATTAGGCCGCCTTTAGGCCGCCCGGCTGCCGACAATGATAACAGCGCCCGGCCAAATGGGTTCCGGGGGAGGTGTGGGCAAGGGAAGGGAAGGGAAGGGCGGCAGCCGCTCCCCCATTCCCCCCCGCTGCTTCTCCCCCTCGAGCCCCGCAGTTGGTCCGGCCCAGGACAAGCCGGCCGTTTAGCCGGGCCTCAGCGGGGGGACCGCCACCACCACCCTCCTCCGCCTCCTCAGCTCCTCCCGGCTCCGCCCCTCGGGGGCGCCTTCATTATACATTCATGAATTCAATAGCCAAATCCGCTTAAAGAGTTTGCGCCTCTTCGAAATGTCTGCGCATTTTATGAGGACTTCGAGGGCCACTTTGTCAGCTTTGTGTCTCGCGCACGCGCTAAGTCAAAGGCACTCGTTGCGCCACTTTCTCCCCCTGCTGCCGCGCATCCTCAGTGGATCTGCTGGGCTAAGGGGATCCGCCCGGTCCGCCCCATCCCGGTGCGGATCGTCCCTAGCTGGAGCGCGAACCGAACAGGCCAATGGAGGTGGCGGCGCCGTTATCCGGAACAGATCTGGAAATCGACTGCGCTACGCGTCGAGACGGACATCTCCCGGGCTCCGGAATAGCTCCGAATGCTGCTCCGCCGGTCCTCCTCTCCAGGTCAGTCGGGCGACTAGCCGCGCCTTTAGTTCCGGCCCCGCCATGGCCTCGTTCGACTTGTGTCGGGCGCAGCAGCAGCCCGCGCCCTGAGCGCCCCAGGTGGGGCCGCAGCCGGGCCACGGGCGGGCTCTCTCCACGGAGCAGAGGGGCGCGGGGGAAAGAGACGCTGCACGTCACTTGCAACCCCCCTTCCTTCAGCCACCATCCACCTCCACCACCACCACCCCGGGCCCCGATCCCGATCCCGCCTGCTCACGAAGCCTCCCCATCCCATACCCGCGGGGGGATTGAGCAGCAGGAGGGGTCAGGTTATTGGGGGCACACGACGGGCCGAGAGAGAAAAGAGGTGTGGAGGAGGATCAGGGTGTCTCCCGGCCCGGCAGTTCATCAACGGCAACGCTCCCCGGAGGAGATAAAACGATCCTGGGGCAGAAGGGACCCTCAACCCCTTCCTCACCCTGCTCCGCCTGGCAAACGGACTACACGCGGGGCCGGGCGGGCAGGAACTCACCCAACAACAACATGTCGGCCGCGCTGAGGTTGCGCGCAGCCTCCTTCGAGGGGGAAGCCTCTGCAATGTGGTCCAGGCAGGCGGCCGGACGACGCGCGGGCGGGGTTCATACCGCAGGCAGCATCGGGCAGGACAGGACAAGCGGGACCGAGGGGGGCCGCCAGGGGAAGGACCAGGAGGGGGACATTCTACGCGACATTCCTGAGACGGCCGCCGCCCGCGTCAGGCCGCACCACAATGTGGAGAGCGGGCGGCACGTCACCGGGGCAGGGGGCGACGTGGGGGCGGACCCGCGCTTGGAGTGACAGCGGTCGTGGGGGCGGCGGCGGCGGGGACGTCGTAGTAGTACGTCCTCTCGTGCCGCCCCTTCTCCCTCTGCTCCTCCTCCTCGCTCTCCGCGTCAGCCCTCTAACTGTACCCGAAGAGACAGACGGGGATTCCCTTCCCGATGCGCAACCAACAGATCGAGATGCGACACCAAATCGATTGGACGACATCCAGCCCCCGGTGGTGGTGGTGGTGGAACTCGGAGAGGCGGGTGGCCTCCCCTCTCTCCTCCGCACGCAGCTCGGAAGGCGGCGAGGGATACGTACTACTACTGCTGTGCATGCTGGCGTCTCCGAGCTTGACAGGTCTGCGTCTCCGGGGAAGGAGAGGAGGGGCGGGAGGGGAGGGAGAAGTCTGCGGCAAACAGCCTTTAAACAAGAGCGGCAGGCGCGCTGAATCAAGGTGGCGGTGACAAAGCCAGTCCCGCCCGCGCACCGCCAAGTGACACCTTCTTTTTTCTATTTGACAGGGAGGAGCGCGGGGGCGGCGGTCGGGTCGGGAGGGAAAGAGAGAGAGCAGGCGGGGGGAGGGCGAGGGGTTTGTTTGAGTGAGTGAGAGGTGGCGAAAGTTGGTTGTTTCTTCCCACGCGCGGACTCTGGTCCGGAACTGGCACCAAGAAGGGCGGTTGCCAAGTTTTACAGAAAGCCATGCTCGTCAGTGCACGCACACGCACGCCCACACGCCGCTGCGGGGGATACGAGTCTCGCGATAGAGGTGGAGTTTGCGCGAGACGAAACAGAGCCCGGGGGCTATCAAAGGCCGCGCGCGTCGCGCCCCCGCTCCCCGCCGCTCTTCTCTTCTGCCGCCTTTGTTTTCTGCGAGTTGGCGGCGGCGACAGCGGCGCGCGTCGCCGGTGTGTTGGGTAGGGTCTGCACGGGGGTAAAGGGACACAGGAGGAGGAGGGATGGGAGGGGGCGCCCCCGCGGGCTGATGAGGCGACGGCGTGAAGAGCGCGCGCCCGGGGTCTGTCAAGTTGGCAGCGCCCTCGTCAAGCGGAGCTCCATCAGCGCCAGACATGGAGGAGAGGAAGAGGACCGCAACTTTCTCGCCTCTTCAGCCGCGTCGCAAAAGGGGAGGCAAAAGGAGGAGGTGGCCCCCCGTCGCAGCCCCCTCTGTGTACTCGGCAGCCCCGAAACACGGCTACTAGATTATGCGTGCCGAAGGGGAAATTCGTCCGGAGAGGACAGTTTAGGAAGGGTCGTCCGCCGCCGTCGCTATCGAGTGGACGCCCCAGGGTGGTGCGGGCAAGGGGAGGTTAGGGGGTGGGGGGTCTTCTCGACGGGTAGGGTAGAGTAGTACGACTCGGACTGGGGACGCCGCGACGGGTGTGTCCTGGGGAGAGGCAAGGCGTGGCGTGACGGTTGCCTCCCCCACCTTCCCCTCAACAGGGTGGCGAGCGCCCCTTCCGCATCCGCCCGGCGGAGGGGGTGGGCGGGGGAGGAGCAGGGAAGGGGAGGCGAGGACAGACTATTCGAATTGCCACATTCAAGTCCATCCTTGCGACCCGCGCCCCGCCGCGCTCCGCAACGGCCCCCCAAGCATTCCAGCAGGCTCAGGCCGCGGGCGGCGAGCCCGGCGCCCCGCGTTCTATTTAAATCGGGGGCCTTTTTAACGCGTCGCTCGTAACTTAAACGCGGCTGTGTCCGGGCGCGGGGCGCCTTGCTGAGCGAGGCCCCGGGGCCCCAGCCCCGTGAACGAGGTCTCTTTTAATTTTCCCATGGTCTGGAGACAAAATAATCCATCCCCTCGAGGTAATAAAATTCCTCGGCTGGCATGTGCCAAAAAAAAATTACCAGCAGCAGCAAGCCCTGAGTAAGATTTGCACTCTTTTTGAGGGGTCGCTTTCTCTTTAATGAGGGTGGGGGATTAACTTTACAGACTGCATTAGTGACGAAAACAATAGAATGTGAAAGGAGGCAACTTTATAAGGCACGAGGCACGGAAAGGAGCGAATCTCCATAACCCATTAGTATGAGGAAAAGTAAATATGTTTAAAGAGTTTAAAATTGTATAGACATGGCAAGGGAAGGGTGGCGAGTTCTCTCAAAGTTTTGATAAAAATTTAGATTGACAATAATAGAAGGTGAAACCCAAGAGGAAGTATATCTTCTACAATGCTGAGTTTAAAAACTTACTCAAAAATTTCCATTTGCTAGTTTGTAGTTGAGCCTGTGGGGTGGGGGACTGCTACTGCAGCAGCCCGCTGCCGTATGAAGCACGACGTCCTTGAAACGTGCTTTTGTCCCAAAGATCCATAGTTGATTGAAATGAATTTCGAATCTAGGTAGCGCCTGCAACGAACCTAAGGCTTTTTTTCTATTTTATCTCACTGAAGAAACAAACCAGCAAAGCAATAAGGTGGAACTAACCTCAAAAACACACGTCACAGTTTAAACTGGGAATATGTCGAACCAAAAATATCCCTCGTAGAAGATTGGAGCACAACTTTTAACAATTAACTCTAAAAACCTTATTTCCATTTCACATAAGTATACCCAAAAGAAAGAAATAAGTAAACAGTGGCGAACGGCGGGAGCAGAGCAGCGTACCACTTCCGGAAACTGCGCAACGGAAGTCGACACCTGATACACAGCCGCCCCGCAGGAGCGCCAAATTTTGAAACCTGTTGTTTTCATGCACTGTACCCTCTTACCTGAGCCGTCGACGTGGGCGGCAAGAAACACCGATACGGCCAGTAGAACCGCGAAGGACGACGTCGGCGAGGTGCTCAGGGCACATCGCCCGCGTAGGAGCAGGCCCTTCGGGCGGTTCGTCCTCATCGCCATCCTCGACTAGCGAAAGTCGTCGACGAACACCAGCATCCGACGACTCGGGCACGGCGGCGGTGAGGTGCGCGTCGAGGGGTCAAGGGCGAAGTCCAGGTCGCCGTCGAGGGAAGGCGTCAGCAGCAGCGAGCGTGTGGCTCACGGAGGAGCTACCTCCCCCGCCATCCCTGCAGCATCTGGAAGAACAGTACAAATAGGAGGCTCAGCGAAACAGTTCGAGGACGCGGAAGAGGGTGGAGGGGGAATTAAATAAATAGTTTTGGTGAAATGTCGAGGTGGAGCGCTGGAGCGCAGAGCTTTGCCTGACCAGGTGCGCAATCTGGGGGGTCCGAGCCGAGGCACCCACGACCCACCTTTAGCCCGGTGGGGACCTCGCAGCCCCCTGCCGCGCCCCCGACCGGCAAGAGCACACCCAGCAGCAGCAGCAGCAGCAGCAGCAGGTCGGGACCAAACCGACTGACTTAACCAACCAGCCATAATTGTCCAAGCCCACTGAATGAATAGCCGGGGCCCTAATGTCAACAACTCCTCAGCGACGCGCGGGGGAGGGGGCCCCGGAGAAGAGGGCGGGGGGTCCAACCACAAAGACGGGGACAACAAGGTTGCGTGCTGATCATTCCCTACCTCCCCCGCCGCCCCCTCCTCCGTCGCGCCCCTTACCTGGCCCTTCCCTTTCTCTGATCCCTTTGTTTGGGAATGGCATGGCGCCTCTTGACCCAGGCGCCCACACAAACCCCCTGCCCTCTCCCTCCCTTCTCCTCCTCCTCCTCGTGCTGCTCCTCCTCCGGCCACCCCCACTATACTTCCAACTCAAACATTTTCCGGCCTCGGTCACGGAGCACTTTTTGAGGCTTTCAGCAGCGCAGCGCCCCCGCCCGGCGAGTGCGAGCGAGGCGGAGACCCTCTCGGTACAGGCCAATTAATTCGCACAGTGAGTGATGACACGGGCAGAGTGAGAGAGAGAGAGACAGAAATCGTACGGGGAAAGAGAGGATCGACACGCCAGGGCAGGTTCGCCATCACTCTAATAGCCTCTTTTTTGGCCCTCTCTCATCATCATTCCCAATGTTTCGCTCCGCCAACGCCGTTTCCCGTCGTCCCGGCTGCCACCCGGACCGATGGGGTCGCTGTCACCCACCCCGTCTGGCAAAAGCGCGCGACACGCTCGGCGACACGCGGTTTCAAGTGCGTGTTATTTTTCCGTTCCGCCCGCCCCTGCCGGGCGGCAGCTGCGACGGCTCTCATATTTTTCCAAACAGACTGCAGTAGATTCTACTTTGTGGAAGTAGACGGCGGCGTGGTGCGGCAGCGGCGGCGGCGGTGGGAGCGCAGTCGCACGGCGCGGACAGAGTGCGCCACTCTCCTCGAGTACCACCCGACCCGACCCGCCACCCGCCCGCGGAACATGCTGCTGCTCCCATGCCACTCCCGCGCCCTTATTTTCAGATGTTGTGATGCGAGTATTCTGTCTCTTTTCGCTGCTCGACGGCTCGCGGGGGCAAAGTGCGACGGCGGGTACGACGCACCGCCAAAAAAAAGTTGGCGCGCGCGCAGGGGCAAAATAGCTGTCTTTTGATGACGAGGGACTTTTTCGAGGACATCCGCGGCGCCGGCCGGCTCCGAGGAAGCAGTATGGCTATTGGCTTACCCTGGTGCGACCTGGCGAGCAGCCCCAGACCCTCCCGGTCCGTCGCGGCGGCAGCGTCGCGACGCTCACACATCGAACACGTGACGAGACGCGGCGGCTCTGGCGGCGGCGCGCGGGCAGCAACGGCACAGGGACGTCCGTCCGCGGCGGCGTCTCGCAGAGACTGGAGCGGGGCGGTCCGCAGCGCCGCGTCGCGCCCGCCCCCACCCGCCGCCCCCACGGCGCCCCCACCCGCCTCGATCAGCTGAGGGCTGGCTGGAAAGCCACCGCCGCTGGAGCGGCCCCAGGGTGTGCGATTTCAACGACGCGGACGCGGGGGGCCGCACTTCATTCGCGTCGCACCTCCGCAACCTACCCCCTCATTAAAAATGTGTTCGAAAGTCGTTCGGGTAATCCGCTCCGACGCGACGACAGGAGAAGATGTGTGTGAACTGAAATAAAGATGATCTCCGGCTCCCTTAGCACGTTGAGTCCGACGTGACCACACGTATGGTCACAAAGCACGTGATTAATGACCCCCTGAGACTCAACGTGTTAACGGGGAGCTTGTTCCCCTCCCCCGTTCCCCTATGAAAACCGCAGATGCCTTTCTTCGTGTGGGGGAGCAAAGACGAAAACGGTTTCATTGATGATTAAGTGTCAGACAAGGAAAGGATTGGGTTGGGTTGTTTGGAACGTGTGAGCCAAAAGAGTGGGTGGGTCTGACTACGGTTCCTGGCCATGGAGCCTTATGAGCTGGAGCTGGAGCTGACTGTCCAGAGCGCAGACAGTGCATGAACTGTTCAGCGACTCAACACCATCACTTTTACACCATTCGTTTACACGGGTGTGTGGGGGGGAGGGGGTGAGAGGGGTGAGGTTTGCCAAAAGCTCAGCTTACAAGGGAACCTTTTCAGGTGTAAATCTCCGATTTCGTTGAAACTTGGAAAATTTGAAGGTTATTTATGTAGAAATCGGATGGCACTTGAAATTGTTCCTAAACCTGACATTTAGTTTTCCCCTATATAAGGTAGGAGAAAGGTGTTAGAAAAAAATATTTTTTGAAAAATGTAAAGCAGTGTTCTAAGGGGTAACTCGCGAAAGTAGTGCTCTTTGGGTCAAAATTTTGTCCGTTTTGCTCTATTTTGAACCGTTAAAGCGGTAGAGGGATATTTGGAGCAAAAAACAGTGTCAGGCTTAAGTAAACCCCTAATAAATGTTAAGTTTAGGAAAAGTTTCAAGTGCCATCTGACTTCTATTATAATAACCTTTAAATTTTCCGAGTACCAACGAAATCGGAGATTTACACCTGAAAAGGTTCCCTTGTTAGGCTGTTGCAGCCATGCACCGCGCGCTCAACAATAGCTGCGGCGAGCTCGCGGGCCGCGCCTGCGCGGAGGGCGCGGGCGCGGTGGAGGGGCGGCGAGTGTTGCTAAGCACCGGTGGGTACTCGAGCGCAGCGGCACAGTCGGTGGTTAGACTCCGAGCGGTTCACAAGTCGGTCTCAGCCTTTCAAGTCGCCACCACATCCCAACCCTCACCGAAGCCATGGCCCTCTGGAAGACCTACCTCATCATCGGCCTCTGCCTCTTCGTGTACGCCGCCCTGGCCTCGCCCGCCAACAAGCAGGACTCCGAGAGCGCGTCCGCCTCCGAGGGTGGCTCCGCGTCCGAGGGCGGGGCCCCGCCCGCGCACGAGGGCTCCAAGCCCTCCAAGCCCTCCAAGAGCGGGTGAGTACAGCCCGGGTCCCCGCGCCCCCGCCGGCCGCCCCCGTGCGCCTCTCCGCCGTCGTGCTGACGGCCGCCCCTCCCTTGCCCCCGCAGCGCCTCCGCCCTGGGCGTGAGCTCCCCGCTGCTGGCCGCCGCCTCCCTGCTCGGCGCCGCCCTGTACCTGCCCTTCTCCCGCCGCACGTCGCACTGATCCCATGGTGAGTAAGACCACGCCTGTCGCCGTCGATGCGCTCACCATTTTCCCCGGGGGGTCCCTCCGCCCCTCCGGGTCCCTGTGCTCTGCCGATCCGGTCGCCGTGACGGTGCCCCTCCGGCGCGTCCACTGCCCGGGCCCGGAGTAGTATATGGGGCACGGTGACATGGAGCTTTTCTCCTTGTGGGACTAGTGGGGGTCGGGGGGGATCAGGGGCTGTCGCCCAGATTGTATGTCACTGTTGCCTCCCTGCGGGCCGGGGGGGTCGGGGCGGGCGCGCGTTCAAACAATGGCGTGCCCTCGCAGCAACAATCGCGGTATTGGCGGTGTCGCAGGCTGATTGTGGGGGATTCAGAATTTTGATCCTGGGAGAGACGGGGGGCGGGTCCTGGTGAGCTTTGTTTTTGCTCATCACGGTTACATTGACGGGGTTTTGCCTCTCCAGGTCGATGGGCCGGACGACGACGGCAGCACCCGTCCAAATTTCCTGTGGGCTCCGTGCCAGGCTCCCCGCCGCCGAGGAGGAGAGCGCCATCGGCCTCCCCGCCGCTGAGGAGGAGAGCGCCATCAGCCTCCCCGCCGCCGAGCAGAGCGCCATCGGCCTCCGCGCAGTCGAGGAGGGGAGCGCCATCGGCCTCCCAGCCGCCGAGGAGGGGAGCGCCATCGGCCTCCCCGCCGCCGAGGAGAGCAGCGCCATCCGCCTCCCCGCCGCCGAGGAGAAGAGCGTCGTCAAACTCCCCGCGCCCGAGCGAAAGCCTTGTTGATCGTTTTGGTTTAATAAATGCTGTGGTGTTGTACAAATACATGTGTCTCTTTGAGTGATGTGTGGAGAGTGCTGATGCTGGAGTATGGAGACGGAGATACAGTCTGCCTGGAAAATACTGAATGTCTAACTCTGGAAGCGAACACGACGCGTACACACTTTCAGTCTGGCGGTGAAGGAAGGTCCATGACGATTGATGGGTGACAAATGATGAAACAGATCTAAAACGCATTGAATATTTTGGGCGGGGAGGGGACTGGGACAGGACAGGGACAAAATAATTCAAATGGCAATGAGACTCGGGCAATTTATTACGGTTTCTTTGTTTTTTTTAAGTTTCGACAGACAGTCAAAGTCGAGGTCTTGGAACACTTGGCCCCGTCACGCCCCATCACGCTGGCACACGGCCGTGCTCTTGGTCACCGTGTGCGGCTCGCTGCTGCTGCTTCTGGAGGTCTTGCCACCTCAGCTTCTCGACCACCATCGCTTCCTCGCTGCGCAGCTCCTCCAGCGGCACTTCCCTGGCGGGCACGTCCGCCGGGGGCTCGCCTTCCAGCAGGCTGGTCCACCAGCGGGGCCGCGCCTTCTCCAGCTGCACCTGCAGGCGCGAGAACAGGTGCAGGTGGAGCGCCTCCAGCGGGTGACCAAACCCGCCCTCCCTGCCCGCACCGCCCATTCAAGACAAGAGCTACGACATTGCCTACGTGCACGTGTTGTCCCGGGAGCAGAGTCCAGAAACTCTCCTTGTCTCTGACGGCGTGCTTGAGCTTGCCGCTCACCAGGTCGCGCTCGCCGTGGCGCACCAGAAGCGAGTCGGTCCTGATGAGCACCTCCAGGGCACCGCTGGACACGACGGACTTCGGGACCACGACCTGGGGGAGAAAGGAGACAACGCAGCCCTGAGCATGTGCGCGCGCGTGAGAGTCAGTTGTAGAGAGAAGTTTGCTGTTTTTATTTTCCAAAATTCATCCGCCCGCTCTTTAGAAATTTTGTTTTGGAAAGTTTATTGACCGGGTCATTTTTTTTTTCGCGACGATCGCAAAACAGATGCATATGACTTTGTGTGTGTCTGTTGTGCGTGAACGTTTCCCCCTCGTGTTTTCTCCATGAAGTACGGAGGGATTTGCACCTGCACGTCGAGGTCTTGGTGCGTCTGGCTCCAGCGGTACGCCCCCCGGTCAGCGCCGTTGTAGGCGTCGGGGTCCATGTGCGTCGCGAGAGGCCGGCTATACGGGGAGAGAGAAAGGGGGGGGGGGGTGGGAAAGGGAAATCCACATCAGTAATGCGGAATAGCTTTATTGGTCCCAGCACACCTGTCCCTGTGCCTCCACCGCGGTGCTGACCTCGTCGGTGCGCTGGCTGCTCGGAGGGTCGGGGCCGGGAGGCCGGGGGCGGCGCGGGGGCGGGGGTCGTGTGCAGGGGCGGCGGCGGCGGGGGCGGCGGGGGCAGCGGGGGCGTGCGGCGACAATGGCGGCCGGGCCCCGGCAACGAACTTCCCCGGGGAGCCCCGAGGCCGGGCCGGCGAGGGCAATGACCGCCATCACGTCACACCGCGCGCAGCAGCGAGCCCACCGTGAAGTTTGTGGGCCTGGCCAGGGCGAGCGCGCGCTGCACCCCGGGCCCCCAGTTGTTGAACAGCCCGTCCTCCAGGCCGGCCACCCTCAGGTCCGGGTTGGCGGCGCGCAGGCTCTCCACGGCCACCATCATCGAGTTGTAGTTGCCGAGGTGGCCCGACAGACGCAGCAGCTGCAGGTGCGGCAGGCGGCGCGCCTCCAGCACGTGCTCGGCGCGCATGTTGTCGGCGGCGATCTCCCGCAGCGGGCACGCCGACAGCGGCAGCGCGAAGCGCGCCGGCACCTGGGCGAGGAGGAGAGACATGGTGGTCAGTAGGGCGGTCAGCGGGGTGGTCAGCAGAGCGGTTAGTGGGGCGGTCAGCATGGCCGTCAGCAGGGCCGTCACGGAGGGCCGTCAGTAGGGCGGTCTGCAGGGTGGTCAGCAGGGCTGTCAGCAAGGCGCGGAGGCTAGGCCCACCCGCTTTCTAAAGCCTCACCTGGCAGCGTCGGAATGTGATGCAGCGGAGGTTGTGGCAGGTGTGCCCCACGGCGGGCAGGATGTCGAACAGCGAGGGGTTGACGCCGTCCAGGGAGAGGCTCTGCAAGTGCGCGATGACGGGCGAGCGCAGAATCCACATGGCGGTGGCGCGCCGGGGAAGGCCGAGGAGGGTCAGCGAGCTGAGCTGCAGCAGGAGGGGCGGTCATGTCAGCAAGCGACCAGCACCCTGAGGGCGATCATGCGCGAGCATTCTCATACTCACGTTGGGGAGCGCGTCGAGCCGCCACAGGTCGTGGCAGCAGCCGACGCCGAGGTGCTCCAGCTGGCGGCACTGCTTGAGCACGCGGATGAAGCGCTGGTTGAGCTGCTGGCCGGGGCTGAGGATGACCTCCCGGAGCATGGGGCCGCGCACCCGGAGGAACCCCTGCAGCAGCCACTGTGCCGGGCCGGGCGGCAGCCCGCGCAGGTCCAGGTGGCGGAGGGCGCCCCAGCCCTCGTCCCAGCGCCAGCACAGCTCCTGGGGCAGCACCTGCACCGCCCGACCCGACACCACAGACTTTAGACACTATTTATTTTGCCGCGTTACGTCAACTAGCGCTGGAAAAATGTCATTGATAGTCATGCATGTGCTGTGAGACGCGGTCCATTCCGCGGATCAGCCTAATCCCTAATCGGATTCGCGAGCAGACCGAGATGGCGCCACCGGGCGGCAGCGAAGCGCTACTCCGCGGCCGCGTTAGGATCCTCGGGCCGCGGGGTAGCGCCGGTGTCCCCGTGCACTCACGTCCGGGTCGGTGAGCCAGGGCGTCTGGCTGTCGCCCATGCTGAGCTCGAGACGACGCAGCCTCGGCATGGACGCGAGCAGGGTCCACAGCTGGGCGGTATCCTCGTCGAGGGGCGGCTGCAGCTGCAGGCTCACGTGCTCCAGGCTGTGCCAGCACTTGTCGAGCAGCTCGAGCAGGCGGCGGCGGCAGTGGGCGCCCCGGCCCAGGGCGCCGCTGAGGGCGCCGCCGCCCGCCAGCGAGCCCCGGTGCAGGCCGCGGGGCGCCCCCGAGCACGAGGCGCCCCGCAGGCGGCGCGCGTGCGAGGCGCAGTTGAGCACGGTGCGCCACTGCTCCTCGCTCAGGCAGCCCGGGGCGCCGCCCTTGCGCAGCTCCAGCGCCAGCACCGCCGGCGGCGTCCATCTGAGCCACTCAGAAGACAATAATCGTTTCCATTCATTCAAAATTAAAACAAACAAATACATTTTTCTCGACGACCGAATCGTCTGCTCACCCGACACGCTCGGCGAAGTCCGCCTCTCGCTCGAAGGTGATGACCGTGTTCCTCCACGCCCCGCGCGTCCGGGCGAGGCGCTTCCACAGGCGGCACACGGCCGGCACGGACCGGCGCAGGGTCCGCTCGTCCAGCAACCCCAGGATCAGGTGCACCAGCTCCTCGGGCAGCTGTTCCATCTCTGCGGAGACAAAGTCGGAAAGTAGGAATAAGAAGAAACGAGCAGCAGGATGACAGGCTGTTCCGAAAAGGAACTCCTTTGAGTTTTAGGGGCTGTGTACAGTCGGTGGCCTAAGTGCAGGGGTTTTCAGGAGACCTGTAGTGCGAATTGCCTATCTCACCAACCACCCCCAGACACCCTTTCTTGACTCACTTAAAGGGCCCCCTTCCGCTCGGCGCTGTGCGCTGCGCTGATGAACAACAGCGAGGTGGATCCAGGCGCGATTGTGTGTACAAACGACTTTTGGTCTTTTGGCGCGTTGGCCAAAACTTCAACGTTGTAATTTTGCCGATGAGCCCGCCCAGTATTTTCGCGTCACATAGCCCCTGGTATGGCTGGCGGTGGTCAGCCCCGGTACGTGCCGTACCGTACAGCCGCTGCAGAGGAGGCACTCCTTGAGCACGGGGTGCATTAATGCTCGGCAGGTTTCACCTTGGCCTACCCTGGCCGTGTGTACCTACCTCTAGAGCGCTCTAGAGGTGCCTCCTTGACCCGTCCGTACTCAGTTCCCACCCTGTAGTAAGTACACGTCCGCGAGGACCGTCACCGCCGACGCGAGTCCTTATTCTAATCAAATGGTCTTCTTTTTGTTGTGATTGTATCTCAGTTTGAAGCACGCCCCTATCAAGATAACTGGGAAAACTCCCTCACCCGCCCCCCCCCCCTTATTTTTCCAGTTGACATGTCTTTCATCCTTCTTTTCCTCTCCGACATGTTACTGTGTGCATTTCCCGAGCGGCCACCGTGCCCTGGAGATCCGAGCTTCCTCTGTGACCTCAGCGCATTTCTGCAAAATGTCGACGTCACTTACGGTGTCTCGTCTCTTCCCTTTCTGTTGACTTCCTCCCCCTCCCCCCTGCCCTCCAGCCTCACCAACCGGCCCGCCCAGCGCAGCGCAGCCAGTCAGTGTCAGTGTGAGGAGTAAGTCTCTCTGTCAGGAGTCGTGCGAGAGTCTTTTGCCCTAAGTGCATACGCCCTATCATTTATCGGTGTATGAATAGCCGCATTGATGCCTCGACGGTCTCGCCTACCAAAGTCATGTGTGAAAACACTTAAAAGCTCCGGAGTGTGGTTGTCCGGTCAAGTCTCGTGGTCCGGTGCCGAAAGCCTGCTGACGAGGTTAGGAGCGCAGGTCGTTCGCGTGTCGAAGGGTTTGGTGTCCTCTTGTTGTGAACAACTCAGAGTGAAAAACCAAGTGTTTGCGTGCTCGAAAATGATACAAGCCACGACTGTGAACTCGGAGCAGGAGCTGCCCTCCAGCACCCGCTCCGCCGGCGTGGACGCCGACAGCACGCTGACGGCCAGCAGCATCGACACGATCGCCGCCGCCGCCGCCCCTCCGTTCCAGAAGCTCCGTGGCGAGGAGAACTGGGAGGACTGGAAAATGCTAATGGAACTTCACTTGGGCAACCTCTTCGACTGCATCCTCCAGGACCCAGCGCCGGAGGCCATGCGAGCCCGGGACAGCGCCGAATTTCAAAGGGACCTGCAGGCGCGGACGCGGATCTTGTTCTCGATGGAGGAGTCCCTCCTCAGGTACGTCAGGGGGGCTAACACCGCTCACCAGGTCTGGACCCGCCTCTGTCTCGCCTTTGACGACAAGCTCAGCAAAAACCGCATAGCCCTGCTAAAGAAACTTATCGGTCTGCGTCAGAAGACGACGCTGACCGCCTACGTCGTTGAATTCAGGGACGTGCTGCAACAGATCACCGCGACGGGCCTCGAGATCGACGACATGGTGTCCACCGTCCTGCTCATGACCCACGTAAAGGAGCAGCATCGTCAAGTCTGTGAGTTGCTCGAGAGGACCTGTGTGAAGAGGCGACAGAACGGCACCGTGACCGTCTCGTTCGATCAGGTCGCCGAGGGCCTGCTACGTGAGGCGGAGGCGCTGCCGGTAGACGACGCCGACGAGGACCAGGACGACAAGGTCAAGGCCGAGGCCGCGGAACCCAGCGACCCCCTGCCCCCGCCGGTGACAGTAGAGAGTACTTCGTCTCAGCCTGTGTTTCCTCGAAGTGAACCGTTGTCCGACCCGAGGCTAAAAAAGTTCCACCCCTACCAGCAACGAGAAGTGCAGCCCAAAGCACCAAAATTCAAGAAGGCATATTATTGCCCCCCTAGCTTCCGTAACAAAAAGAGGAATAATTATCCCCCATGTTATTATTGTTCGAGAACTAATCACCTTGAAGTAAATTGCCATTTCCGACCTAAAGGCTCTCGAGAAAAAGTTTTTGCTTTGAGAAATTCCTCGTCAGGTCGTAGACAAGAGGCCAACATATCCAAAGGGTGGTCAATGCCAAAATCAAATGAACAAAAACCTGACATCAAGGCTGAACCAATTACGTACTAAAATATTATGTTTTGCAAGTGAAAGGACTCTGTTTAATTATATATTCATATTTCCGTTTGAGATTGTCATTGGATTTAGTCGTTCATTATGTTGGTTAATGTCAAATCTATTAACAAAATTAATTATATTTACATATTTCCATTTGAGATTGTCATTGGTGATTAGTCATTCATTACGTTGGTCAGTGTCAAATCTATTACCAAATTTCTCTGCACCTACAAAAGACACCGTTGAAGAACATTTTCAATGTAGTATGAGTGGGGACATTAAAATTTATTTGTAATTAATCATTTTCTTAATTACACAATTTGCTTTCCCTGACTCTTTTTAATACAACAGTTACGGTGCCTGTGACATCATAACCAGGCTTACCATGCCTTATGAAAACCACTGAGACTACCTCTGAACAGACAACTTTGTGAACCAATACAAAGAATGAGGATAAATTGATAATTTTTGCAAAATCACAATGCGCTTTCCCCACCTTTTTTCAAACAACAGTTATGGTGCCAGTGACATCTTCATCATTAACCATGCTGAGTATGCTTTAAGGAAACCTCCGACACTACCTTTGAAAAGACTACCTTGTGAACCCATTCAAAGAATAAGGGTGAAACCATATTCGACTCTTATAAATCTCAAGTGGTTTTTTTTGGACTTCTTTAACAGTTGTGAAAGGCCTGTTGGAAAACACATGGAGATGGAACACAACATTAAAACTGTTCTTACAAAGCAAATGAGAAATGTGGGGAATTTTTATCAGTGATTATTAAATTTAAACCGCCATTCTGCTGCAGTTTTGATCGATAAAGTGACGTTTACATGTGATTTTGGGCTGATTTTTGCGCAAGGTGTCATCCTGCCACACCTTGCACCGGCAAACACTTATATAGCGAGTTAGTCGTTAAAGGCCCTCCAAGTGGGACCTAACACCTCGTGTCTTTGGCACCTCCTCCACCCGCGCGCCAAACTTTTGCCTCACACTTTTCTCCCGCAGCTGCAGGATGCCCCCGCTGTTAGTCACCGTCCCGCCAGTGACAGAGTGGCACCTGTCGCAGTGGCAGCGCGGGGGGAGGGGCGGTGGGGAGGAGGGACCTACCAACACGGTTGTAGGGTACAGTCAGTACTCATTGGCACTCGGCGTCGCCACCCCACCCGAAACAGTTCAGTGATCTTGATATTGGTTGCAGTTGGCCCGGCTCCAAGATCAGCTGTTCCTCCAAGGTGCCCCCCCCCCCCCCCAACTAACGTGATTACACCTGTGATACTGCCGCCGTCCCTTGTTAGCTTGCCGGTCACGTACAACAGCTGCAAATACAAGAGGCTGCGATCCTTTTTTTCCTCTTCTTTTTTTATTTTTGCTGCAGTGCGGAAGCGTCGCGTTCGGTACTTACCAGCACCAGCCCTGGAGACGACGGCGCTTCATCCGGCGTCCCAACAGCGACATCCAGCCACTCAGTGGGGTCGGTGTGGTCGGGGTGGGGAACTTGAAGGCGTTCGGAGCGGGGGGTTGGGGTGTGCCAGGCTGGGGGTGAGGCGAGGGTCGTACTGCGGCGAACGGTTCGGTAAGGGGTCCCCTGCTCTCGGCGGTCCTCTCTCGCGGCCCCCCTTCGCGCGCCGCCACGACTAGTACTCAGCGACTGCACCGCGCTGCACACCAGCCCCTATAGGTACAGCCGGTACAGCACCGCGCGCCATCGACAGGCGAGCCAACGTCACAACATTGTAGCAAGAGAGAGAGACTGTCGTTCAAATTCTACAGTGCCAGCACTCCCACCCTGACTACGGGTGGCCCTTCAATTTCTTTAATTCATAGTGATTCGGGAATTTGTTTGTTGCTTTAGCATGTTTGGCCTAAAGACTTTTGTTTTCAGGAGTTTTCTCTTCTATTGTGTTTTATCGTTTCCAACGTACCGTGTGATTCAGAGAAGACGCAGGAGCGCGCAGGTTTGCCTACCCGATCTGTTCGTAAGGCGCCATATAGCCCCTTGGGCAGGCAAACCCGCTCGCACGGCGTCTTCTTTGAATCACCCGGTACTGTGTGACATGTGCAATGTTTCAGATGCAACATCATGTCGGACTATTCCTCGACTATTCCTGCAGTTTGGAAATAAGAAAGACAAGCTGCGGAAGCAAGTTTGATGAAATGGTGAGTGTTTCATTCGTTCTTTGCTTTACCGTGTTTCGTTGACCGTGCCCCACACAATGAACCTTTCTCGAGGCCCTGAGGCTTGAGAGCGCTTCCCCTGCCCGAGCCCCTGGGGCGCGCAGGGTGGGCCACCGGCACAACACAGCTGCTTTGCGGGTCGGCCTACCGCAACGTGTCACTGGCGCGATCATGATGTAGCCTAGCATAGCAACTGCGTCTTCTGTGTTCTCCACTCTGGCGTGGCTATAATGCTATGGGTCTCTGGCATTGGTAATTCGCGGTAACATACTCCAACCGATTGTGACTTGCGTGCAGAGGTCGGTGGGATCTGATCGGCGCGTGCGTTTCGAAAAGTTTCCTCAAATAATGTCCGCGATATATAAGGTATGGGCATGGGCAAAAATAAACTAGACAGACCCTACCTTAAGGCGTACCTTGCGTGCGGCGCGGCGCCGGAGCTGGTCATTTAGATGTTAATAACTGGCGTCCGCTCACGGCTGGAAGTTTCCCAGAGCCGCGCCTTGCCAGCGCGAGTTCTGGCGGAACCTATCTTTCCAGTCCTGCTCGGAAAAGCAATGTACCGGGTGGATTCGCCCCGCCCGGCCCGCGTTCGTATTGATGTATTGATACTCGACCGCGCGCAGGTTCCTGGGGTTGAGCTCATGCCTGTCGTCTAGCGCCTTTCGCGGCCCGAAGGGAGTACACCCAGAAAAATGAAGAGTTGTTGAAACGAGCGTATGGTTACTGCAGGGACAACCATAAACTAGACATGTGCGCCGCGCCGCCGTTGCGCCGCCGCCGCCGAATTTCAGTGCGCCGCCGCCGCTGGCTAAAGTTTTTCGGCGCGCCGCCGCGCCGCCGCCGACAATTTCATCGGCGGCGGCGTCGGCGTGGCTGGTGTAAAGGGTCATTTCGTATCTCGAACCTAACTTGGGGACGCCGGGTGGGTAGGCAACCTGCTTAGCAGCTCAAAATTTTAAAACAGTAAAACGATTTTAATCGAATTTTGCAAAGAATAAGTGGCGTAAGATTCTGGTGAACAAAAAGTCGTAAGGATTTTTTATGAGAAGGCAAATTCGCCCCCCAAAATCGTTAAAATGTGCAATTTATTTGGGTTCACGCCGGTGACGCCGCCGCCGCCGACTACCACATCGGCGTTAACGCCGGCGGCGCCGCCGCCGTTGACCAAAATTTGGCCTCACGCCGCCGCCGACAAAAGTCCAGTCGGCGCACATGTCTACCATAAACTATGGTTGAAGCAACAACAGCACAGGTGTACATCAACCAAGAATGCGTTTTTCACCACTGGCGCATCGTTGTCTCAGCCATATTTTATGGTTATACCTGAAAGAACCATGAGATTGTTCCTACGACTTTTAATTTTTCTGGGTGTAAGCAACCGGCCCGCGCGCATGCGGTGCAGCCAAGCAGGTGGAGCGAAGCAGTCGCCTGGTGTAATGTGGAAGTTTTTCGCCTACTTGCAGGCTAGCTAGCTGTCTACTGCGGCCGCTCAGCCAAGCGCGACCAAGCACAGCGCCTGAATACGAACGAGTGTGTTTTCTTGTCAAAGCCAAATCGCTGCGCGGCGGCGATGGAGTGTCATCCTCAATAGGTGACATCCGGCAGATTGACCCCGTTGTGAGGCTGCTCCGGATCAGCATCAACAGCGACGCGCTCAAGGTGAACTAGCCTCATGCCGCCCCGTCGCCGGCGCTTCCCCCGTCTTGCGGCGCCTATCTTTCCATTCGGCGTCGATACGAAAACAGAGCAAACCGATGCCCGCCGCGCGAAAGCTTGCCAAAATTATTGTGTTGTTGCCGAGAACGCGCCAGATCGCGTCATCGATAGTCTAGCTGGCGATTAGCCGCGGGCAACGACCTTTTTCGGTAGGCAACGGGTGGGGGGTCTAATGAAATAACATCGTTTGAGAGCGCGTGTTATGATAAGAGGCGGAACTACAGAGAAGAAGGAGGGGAGCTGGAGCGATCGCGAGGTACACGATGGAGGGGGGGAGGGGCGCGCCAGGTCGCCGCGGGGGCCAGCGAGCCACACATGCAGCACTGGCTGCCGGTGGCCGATCAGTTCCAAGCGGGTGTTCGACAGAGCGTGGTGCACGACCACGACTATCGCGCGACGCACAAAGTGACCGATCGACAACATGAGGTCCACGACGAGGACCGGCCTGCTGGTGTGCGCGGCCGTGGCGGCGCTGCTGCTCGGACTGGCGGCCTCAGCCCCGGCCAGTAAGTCGCGTGCGCGTGCGCTGCCGCCCCCGACCAGGTCCAGCCCGAGCTCGGCGTCGAACACCGGTTAACACCCCTCCCCTTCTCTCCTCACAGGTGACGACGCCGTGAGTTCCAGCACCGCGTCGGCGACCACCGCCGCGGACACCACGACGACCAAGAAGGGCATCCTGGGCGTGGGGAAGTCCGTGCTGGGGAAGGCCGCCGGGACAATCTCGAAGGCCGCGGGCAGCGCGGGTCGCTTCGTCGCGACGCGCTCCACGGACGAGGAGGTCTGCTACGACATCCTGGGCTGCTTCTCCCTCAAGTCGCCCTGGATCTCGCCCCTCCGTCCCCTGCCCGCGCCCTCCTCACCCGAAAAGATTGACGTCAAGCTGTATCTGTACACGAGGTGAGCGTGGTTGGTAAGGTGAGGTTCGGAAAACCAAGCCAGCTCCCCCCTTTTCACGCGGCCCTTGGTGTGTGTGCATCTGCGCAGGAACCAGGCGGGTCGCTACAACGTCACCACCTTCCCCGAGGTCGTTCTGGACGGCAGCGACTTCCAGGGCAGCCGCCCGACCTTCTTCGTCATCCACGGCTTCTCCAGCGACGGCAACGCCACCTGGCTCAGCGACCTCAAGGACGCCATCCTCAAGAAGGTTTGTCCCCTGCGCTAGACGTGCAAGTACCTTTCGTGATTCGAACGGGGCATACATGGTTTTCCTCTCAGGTTGACGGCAACGTGTTCCTGGTGGACTGGGGCAACGGCGCCAGCGACGGCACTTACCTGCAGGTCGCCGCCAACACCCGCATCGTGGGCGCCGAGGTCGGCCGTGTCGGCCGTCACCTGGTGGACGAGCACGCCGCCAACCCCAAGCACTTCCACTTCTTTGGCCACAGTCTGGGTGCGCAGATCTCGTCGTATGCCGCCAAGAACATCACCAACGTCGGCCGCATCACGGGTGAGTCCAGCCAGCCGGCAGTGCAGTATCTGTACTGCTCCACTGTGGTCTGGTGGTAGCCGAAAGTTAATAATTCCTTTCTTGGTCTATTTGCACAGCCATGGACCCTGCCCAGCCCGCGTTCGAGAACCTCGACAAACGAGTAAGGATTGACCCATCGGACGCAGACTTCGTCGACGTGATTCACTCGAACGCCAAGCCCACTATTCCTTTCATCGGATTTGGCATGATGAGACCTGTTGGTAAGTTGTTGTTTTGTTTTATTTTTAATGTGTGTGCTGCTGTTTTTCTTAAGCGGTGTGCCTATAGAGGGGACCCTGCCGGGCCCGCCTAACTGGCCGTCACTGATAGTGTGAATACCTTACAGGGCACGTTGACTTCTACATGAACGGGGGCGCGGACCAGCCCGGCTGCGAGACGCCAAAGCTGGACACGCTCAAGAGTATCGGCGACCTGGCCAAGATCCCCATCAACGGTAATTCCACAATAAAATTTAATAGACTGATATGAAGGATAAGGATGCCGTCCGCAATCCGCAGTGGTTTTGATTGCTGATAATGTTGCGATTGTTCTCGAAGAAAATGGTTCCCTTGCGCAGAGCTAAACTTTGTGATTTCTTTTTCTCCCTCGCGCTGTAGTGATCGGTAACCTGGTGTCATGCTCGCACGGTCGCTCCTACCTCTACGTGACTGAGGCCATCAAGAGCCCGTGCCGCATGTGGGGACACAAGATCAACCTTGCGCAGCAGCTTTTGAAGTGAGTACGCTGCGCGGTGCGATGGGCTGCCTGCCCGTCGGGCGCTCCAGACCCAGTCCTGTACTGACTTCCTCGTTCTCTCTTCTCCGCAGCCTGGGCTCCATCGGCCGCCTGAGCATCATCACCACCAGCGGGAAGTGCAAGCCCGGCGAGTGCACCCCTATCGGCCTGGACACGCCCAGCTACCCCACCAGGGGCACCTTCGCGGTGGGCACCGCGCCCGACAAGCCTTACTGCGGTAATTTGCGTGCTTCGTTGATGTTTGGGCCCCCGTTCGAAAACTGCTGCCCGGTCCTTTTCGGTCCTCATACTTTTGTTTTGTGGAACAGTTCCAGAGAACTCGGACGATGGCCAGCAGCTCAACGAACTGAAGGAGGCGGGCCTCCTCGACGGCAAGGACACCCCCTCCACCACCCAGTCCAGCGGTGGCCTGAAGGGACTCGTCCGTGCGGTCTCCGGGTAAACGGAATAGGCTATTCTTTTTCAATAAAAAAATCTACAATCAGTACATTTTTAATATATTTTGCAACAAAAACAAATATTTGAACAACAACAGTAATAACAAACAAACAATCCATTGCGCCTTACGAACTAGTTAACATGGTTTTAAATATGCATAACACGTCTAATGACTAGAATAACATGAAACTTCGCGGCCGCTCTGGTTCTGGGCTGTGCGATGCGAGAGTTGAGCGGTTAAGGATCAAAGTCCGTGTGGTAGCTGGAGCCGGAAAAGTACTCGGAGGGTTCGGACCCCACCGGAATGTCCACCGAGGAGGCGTCCGGCACGGACAGCTTGCTTGACTGCTTGGCCTCGGACTTGAAGGCCGCCGATAGGCTCGGGTCCGACTGGTGAACATTGGCCTGGAGGACATTGAAACGCAGTCGCTGTAATTCCAATTTCCCTGAGGGTACCCCAAATTACGCGGTACACATTCTTCAAAATGTAAATAAAAGAACATGATTAAGCAGAGTTTGTATCATACCTGGAAGCCGTTTTTGGGATCGACCGTGTAGGTGACGGTCCTCACGGACCCGTCGGCCTCCAGAACCTTGTACTCGCCGCGCACGTTGTCGCCGTCGCGCTGCTCCTTGTGGCTCTGCGCATTGCCGGACTGCGGGTCCTTGACGCCGTAAGCAAACGCGTACTCGGGGCGGGACTGCAACAGAAGCACCATGCTCGGTCTCGGGTTCTAGTAAGGTCCAGGGATCGTCCAGAAAGTGCGTCTGTTTTTCTCATATTCGTTCCGGAAATTGTGGATGCTTGGCGCCTGCGAGACTCGGGATAGGCTATCCCGCAGTACGCACATGCATCGTAGACAATGTGTTGCCTACCCATCAGGCGCCATGAGAGCTTGCGTAGTCTGATCTTTGCAATTTCTGAACGACAAATGACGGATGAACTTTCTGGGTGGTCCCTAGTATATACGACCGACAGTCACGTTATCCTTGGTCAAGAAGAAGTAAAAGCTTTCTTGGCCGTTTTGCCGCCAAAGCGAGCCGATCGCGACTGTACCCGAAGCTACTCACTGCGGCGTGGTCCAGGGCCGGGTCAAAGTGCAGGTCCGCGGAGGCCGAGCCCGATGAGGCGGGCAGGTCGGACACGATGACGGGCTCGATGATGACGGGGCCCTGCGCCAGCGAAGCGCCCGCCAGCAACAGCAGCACCAGCACCCTCGCGATGTCCATAGTCTGTCCTGCTGCACTCGCACTGCTGCACCGGTGTCCCGCTGCAACGGACAACTGCAGCCGCCTTCGGCCGGACCCGACAATTTAAAGCACGCCGCCGGCCGCACGCCGAGGAGAGGATTCGACACACTGGGCTCCGGGGCAGGACTCCATTCCCTTGCGACACCCCTCCCCCTCCTCCCTCCCTCTCTGATTGACACGCTCCGCACCTCCTCCTCCTCCTCTGCCTCGATTCCCCTGCGGACAGAGTGACCTCTCTTGAGTGTCCAGCGTCCACCGAATGAAAGTATTTTCTATCCTCACCTTCGCCACCCGCCCGGGTGGGCACGCCGCCGCCGTGCACCAAGGTGCCCCGCGTTAGCGCCGCTCTCCTCTGTCGAGCAGATTCAGCCTCCTCATTGGCGCAGCGGGGTGGTGGAGGGGGGGGGGGGGCGTCCGGTGCGGCGTGGCCCTGCAGCGCTGGCCGCGCTCGGCGCCGCGAGCGCGGTGGGCGGAGGCTCGCGGGGTGGCCGGGGTGGGCTGCCCTGCGCTGCGCCCTGCGCCAGCACGGCGCCGGCCTGCCTGCGTGCGCACCGTGCGCTCCGACACTCTGGACCAGGGCGCCCGCTCTCCTCCCCTCTCCCTCCGCTCGCCACCCCCCGAGACCCACCCCTAGGCAGACCCAACTGGGGTGGAGCAGGGGGAGGGTGGCGGGCGAGAGAGGACAGCAAACTCAGCTCCGACAGCTGAGGGGCCCCTTTTCCCCCAAGCGAAACTTGCGTCGAATACCTTTTTAGCCGCCTCTAGCCCTCACGGCTGGGTGCCAACACTGGCCAGAGTCAAGCGATAGTAGCCACCAATCAGTGAGGATGCCACGGATACCCACAACCCTGCCGTACAAATTTGAGAGGCTGCCCAGTTCGGTGGTGCCGTCGCACTATACCATTGTTCTCACGCCAGACTTAGAAAATTGTGTCTTCGACGGGACGGTGAATGTCGATCTGGAGGTAAGTTTGTCGATTTGGGCTCGAGTAGAGAGCACACGTATTGGAGTTCATTTCCGCAAGCACCCGGATATGGTATGCAGCCCTAGGAAACTGCATAACCTGCTTGCACTTCAAGTCTTTGTTCTCACATTGTTTTGTAATATTAAAAGAATTTTATTGTGAATTAAAATAAAGCTGACTAATTGTTTGAACTATCAAGTAATACTCATTATAAATAAGGCAGCTTGAGTGCACCCTGTTCCACCCCTGGACGCCGTGTCGTCTGCAAGACGTGACATTATGTATGATTTTGTTGTTGTTGTTGTTGTTGTTAACTTGCCTTCCCTCCGTGCTTGTGTGTGTGAGTGTATGTGTGTGTGTGTGTGTGTGTGTGTGTTTTCTGATATGTCACAACGGCTTGCTTTTGTTTTATTAATGTAATTAATCTAATAAATATTAATTTAAAAGTATTGATCTATTTGAATGTTTTGAGTTTGATTTGGTTTGATGTTCTCTAGGTGAAGCATCCTACCACACGCATTGTTTTGAATTGTGTGGATCTTGAAGTTAGACACATAGAACTTCATCATGATGATGGAACATTATTCTTACCAAGCAAAGTAATTTTTGCTGTGAAATGTGAGACTGTAGCAATATATTTTGCATCTGAAGTTCCTGCTGGCCGATGTAAGCTGTCAATCAACTTTAAGGGATACCTCGATGACTGTATGAGGGGTTTTTATCGATGCAAATACAAAAGGTAACGCCAATATTTAGAACTTGCCACATTTTCAGAGTTAAAGGGAAAATAATAATTTAAACTTTAATGTTTTTATGTTTCCAAAGTCATGACACTGAAGAAGAGCGATTTTGTGCAATATCCAAATTTGATGCTGGTCAAGCACACCGCTGTTTTCCATGTTGGGACGAGCCGGCTATCAAAGCAACATTTGATATAACTCTCCGCATTCCTACAAACAGAGTTGCTTTATCTAATATGGTAATTTTCCCTCCTGATTAAATGTAATTTCCTCAAATATTTTCAGAATTCCAGTGATGCTAGGTTTGAAACCCCTAGCAAATTGTTTGCACTGAGTGTAATTAGCTTATAGAATTTTAAGCAGGTTTGTCCATTTCTCCCTTTATAGCCTGTTTCACATGAAGAGGAGATGACCGATAGTACAAAGGCTGTACGCTTTGAGACAACTCCTATAATGTCAGCACATCTGGTTGCAATTGTTGTTGCTGAATTGGACTTTATTGAAGAAACTGTGGATGGCATACCTATACGAGTGTATACACCACTAGGAAAAAAAGAACAAGGAAGATTTGCTTTGGAAGCTGCTGTTAGAGTTCTCCCATTTTATAAAGAACATTTTGAGCTGCCCTATCCTCTTCCAAAATTAGATTTCGTTGCAATCGAAAATTTTTCCCCAGGTACAGTGGGAAATTGGGGTTGCATCATTTACAGAGACCTCGGTCTGCTTCGTGGTGATAAATTAAAACCTCCAAAGCGGACTGTGGCTTTATTAGTAGCGCATGGTCTTGTTTATCAATGGATTGGAGGCTTGACTACCATGGTGAGTTTTTTATTGGTTAAAATTAACTTTGTGAGCTCCCATCTTATCATGACTAATTTTTTATATTTTTTTTTTCCAGGAATGGTGGACCCACTTTTGGTTGAAGGAGGGATATGCAGCATTCCTTCAATACCTTTGTACTGCCCATTTGTATCCAGAATTTGACTTATGGACACAATTTATAAGTGATACTTATTGCCATGCCCGCACAATGGATGGTGTGAGGAGTGTAATTCCTCTTGAGGTACTTTCTTAGTAAACTTCCTTCTATATTTTCCTATCTAGAGTTGGATGATGATAATGAATGTTCCCTCCCCAATTCAAAATGAATTTTACTTTAGGCACCTCAGCACACTTTGTGAACAGTACATTTACAGTGCATATTATTGTCTTTTTAGGTGACTATTGGGCATCCAATTGAAGTGCAGGATGTTTTTGATGATATTTCTTGTAGCAAAGCAGCCTCTGTAATTAGAATGCTCCATAGATACATAGGAGATGCTGTAAGTGTGCCTCCTTCCTGTTAAATGACTGCAAAACTAATATCTTCTATTTATGAGAATGTGTAAATCCCTTTCCAGAACTTTACTAAAGGCATGAGCCTTTACCTTCATAACTTTGAGTACGGCAACGCTACCACTGATGACTTATGGGAATGCCTTGAAGAAGTGTCAAATAAACCAGTTCTTGAGATAATGCGTACCTGGACAAGACAAAGTGGATACCCTGTTGTATCAGTAAAATGTGAAATAGAGGGAGATACACATAAGCTTTACTTGGAGCAAGCCCCCTTCAAAGGAATTGGACTAGGCCCTGATTCTGATGACAGGCTATGGCCCATTCCAATTCAATTTAGTGCAGCTGCTGATCCGCAGCATGTTATACATGAGTACATGTTGCGTTCCAAAGAAGCCATTGTTTTGCTGGAACATGTGAAACCCACAGATTGGGTGATGCTTAATCCTGGGGTTTTTGGCTTCTACCGTGTCAACTATTCTTCAGAAATGCTAGAAATGCTTAAACCAGGAGTTGCTGATCTCTCAATTCCAGCAATTGACCGCTTAACACTTTTAGATGATTATTTTTCACTGGTAAAGTAAAACATTATGAATTAGTGACTGGAATACATTATTACGTGGAATGTTTGGTCAAATGATCGCTTTAAATAATTTCCAGGCAAAAGCAGGTCTATGTAGCACTGGTCAAGTCCTTCGGCTCCTTCATGCTATGAAGAATGAAACCAGCTGTTGTGTATGGGTAGAAATGTGCAACATTCTTGTGAGATTGCGGGTGCTCTTACAGCATTCAGATGATGTCTACCCCCTTTTCATGGACTTTGGAAAAAGGTTGCTGCAGCCTATTAGTCAGTCAATTAGATTGTGGAATCCAGCAGCAGATGAAAGTAAATGTTGGAAAATCCTCTAAATAATTTTCAGTCCAATATTGTTACTTCAATTATTAACTTATAATTTTTACAGAATATGAAGACAGGGTATTACGCTGCCTTATTCTAGACCAACTGAATGCTTTTGATGACCAAGCTACATATGAAGAGTCAAAAAAACGTTTTAATTCTCATGTGACCGGTTCAATTCGTTTGCACCATGATATTCAAAGCAGTGTCTACTGTGGAGTTCTTGCCAAAGCCGACACTGCAACCTATGAGACATTCCTAAAGGTAAATTGTAAAATTATTGTCAACTGCTAGGGGCGTCCTGTAAACATAACAACAATCAAACAAAATTCTTTTAAAAATTTATTATATATATTTTTACTGTAGATGTACCATGAAGCAACAAGTCAAGAGGAGAAAGACCGCATTGCTATTTCACTTGCAACAATTGATGATACTGAACTCTTGAGAGAGGTCATGAAGTTCCTATTCTCTGTAAGTAAATAGCGCATGCTCACTTGTATAGTAAAATTGACTTTTGTCATTTAATAATCTTTGTATTTGTAAGGATGAAGTAAACCCACAAATACTTTTAAGAGTATTTGGAGTGATGACACATATTAAAAGAGGAAGAGAAGTAATGTGGGAGTTCTCTAAAGAAAATTGGAACAAGCTGTACTCCAAATATGTGAGTAAAATATTATTCAAACATTTGATTTACTTTGTAAATTTCTGGTTCCAAAAAAAAGGTTTTAATATTTAATTTATAATTCCCAACAGGGCTCTTTTGCATTATTTTCTCACTACCTAGTAACAGCTTTTCAGAACTTTGCAACTCAAGAAATAGTAGAAGAACTAGAAGAATTTTTTACAAACAACGAAACGAGTGGGGCTGAAAAGGCAGTACAGCAAGTGTTATGTTATATACGCATGAACACTGCATGGTTAAAACGGGACCTAGTAGACATAAAATCAGTTTTGGAAAGTTTTCTGTAATTCATTTTTCTCAATAATTAGTACTTTCAATTAATAGATTTTGTATATTCTCAATCTTGTAATAATCTTTTACAACACATATCTCTTTGTAATAGCTATGCTATGACTGCGTTATTGAACAGTGTACTTTTATGACTTTTACCCATCTTGAATAAAATCCAAATAAAGTCAACACTATAAAGTTTGAAATTTGCAATCAACCCATAAAGCACCTGTCAATTTTCACAAAGGCAACAACAAACACAATTTAGATGGACAATAAGAAATATGAACTCCCACTGCTGTACCTGGCTGTCCTCCCGCAAAGGACAGAGATAACGGGACAACTAACGGGCCGAGGCCGAAACGGTGATCTCCTCTTTCCTCTTCCCTTTCGTTCGAGCCAAGCCGAGCTTTTGCTCTTTTTGCGTTATTTCCTTTTTTTCCCGTTTGTTTTCCCCCCTCCCCTCCCTTTCTCCCTTCCTCACCTCTCCTCCTCATTGCCCCCATTCCCCCATTCGGACCGGGATCGAGCGTCCTTCGTATTCACTTCGCGTCGGCTCCTGCACCTAGCGACAGACACCATCTTGGAAATTGTGGTTAGGGTTTCGTTGGATTCAACAATATTTTTACAAGTATTGGTGTCTGCCAGTCAACTTTCTTTCTTGTAAACTTGAAAAAATAGAAGAGAAAAGCGGTCGTGCAAGTCCTGCATCCCTTTAGTGGCAGAGTTTGTCAACTGCAGAGAAAATGCCCCGTCCCTTCGAGCGGCTCTCAGCCTCTGTGGTTCCCAAGCATTATGACTTGTTTCTCAAGACAGATTTGGAAAAGTGCGTGTTCAACGGACACGTCACCGTCAGCCTGGAGGTAAGCACATTTCCCAGAAAGTCTACACCCGTTCCCGTTCGTGTTCTTCGCAAACTTTCGCTACAACTTTCTTTGCAAGTAATGTAAACATAACCTCTTCGCGCCGGTGATGTGGTATTCAGAACGTCGCAGAATTAGATAAGGTGATGACTCATGAATGGCCCAAAGAAATATACTCGCTCTTAATATGTTCCAACTTGAATTCACCGATGCCATCGTATTATAAGTCTTTATTTTCAATTCATAGAGATGTCAAACTGTATCAGTAACTGTCAACAACTCATATGAAGTAGCTGATGTTCTAATGTCTGTCTACACTCATTTTGTCATTCAAACCAACACACCGTATTAAACGAAAGTTGCATTTATTTTCCAGGTGAAGGAGCCTACTAAGCGCATTGTTTTAAACAGCCAAGATTTGAAAATTGACGAGGACATACAACTTGAACTCAGTGATGGCAGTATTATCCGTGCGTCTGAGCTTGACACCTCAGATAACGACTGTGAAACTATTGCCCTTGTGTTTCTATCAGATGTACCTGCAGGAAAGTGCAAAGTTACTCTTAAATTTAATGGTGAACTTACCGACAATCTGAAAGGTCTTTACCGTAGCAAATACACAAGGTAAATGTTTAATTACTATTGTATAGCTTCCAGTCTTAAAATGAAAAGCACCAATTATGAGATAGTTTGTTGTACTAATTTTTTTTTATTTTATTTCCAGCCATGATACCAATGAGGAGCGCTACTGTGCTGTCACTCAATTTGAGGCGTGCGATGCACATCGGTGTTTCCCATGCTGGGATGATCCAGCCATTAAAGCAACTTTTGACATCACTCTTTCTGTCCCTAAAAATAGAGTCGCTTTGTCCAATATGGTACATTTTTACAAATTATATCTCTACCTATCATTGCTACCCTTTTGTTCTTAGAAATAATAAGAGCTTTTCTTTCAAAATTTCCAGCCTGTGAAAAGTGAAGAAGTGCTTCCTGATGGAAATGTGTTGGTTAAATTTGAAACAACTCCTATCATGTCAACATATCTCGTTGCTGTGGTGGTTGGGGAATTTGATTACATTGAAGATAAAACACCTGATGGCATTTGTGTTCGTGTGTACACTCCTGTTGGGAAACAAGAGCAAGGAAGGTTTGCTCTTGATGTTGCTGTGAAAGTCCTCCCTTACTACAAAGAATACTTTAAAATGCCATATCCACTTCCAAAAATGGATCTGATTGCTATTGGAAGTTTTGCCGCAGGTATGTTTCATTTTTGCTCTTCCCTTCTCTGTGTTGGGAATCCAAACTCAACTTTTTGTTTTTTTGTTGTTGAAAGGTGCCATGGAAAACTGGGGTCTTGTTACATACAGAGAAACATGCCTTTTGGTTGATCTCCTAAAAACTACCACTCAGAGGAAGCAGTGGATTGCTATAATTGTGGCTCATGAGTTAGCTCATCAATGGTTTGGCAATCTGGTCACAATGGTATGCTGTGCAAATTCTATAAAGAAAAAACAACAAACAAAAACAATTAGGAACAGTATTGATTACCTGTCCTGTTAATCTGTTTTAGGAATGGTGGACTCATCTCTGGCTCAACGAGGGCTATGCTACATTTGCTGAGTTCTTGTGTGTAGCTAATCTGTTCCCTGAGTATGACATCTGGACTCAGTTTGTCACTGAAACTTGGAGTCCAGCTCTGAAATTAGATGCTTTGAAAAACAGCCATCCAATTGAAGTGAGTTTGAAACTATAATGAAAAAAATTAAGAATGAAAGTCTATATTATCCAATTTTATGTTACTGTCACACTTTCCTTTTGTTAAAAAAAATAAAAATATCTCTTGTAGGTGCCAGTTGGTCATCCCCTAGAAGTTGATGAAATTTTTGATGATATTTCGTACAGTAAAGGTGCCTCTGTTATTAGAATGCTGCATAGATACATTGGAGACGCTGTAAGTTTTTTTTAACGAAAGTGAGCAATATAGATATGTCAATAGCATGTGTAACATTTTGCTTCTTTTACAGGATTTTGCTAAAGGCATGAATTTGTATTTCAAGAAATATCAGTATGGTAATGCAGCAACTGATGACCTGTGGAACACACTGGAAGAAGCTTCAAACAAGCCTATATCGTCTGTCATGTCTAAATGGACTAGACAGATGGGATACCCTGTAATATCAGTTCGAAGTGAGCAAGTTGGAAATACTCGCAAATTTTATCTGAAGCAGTCTCAGTTTTGGGCAGATGGCAGTGCCAGTTCTGGAGGTGTGTTTGGTCAACTACCCTCTGCTAAAATTTCCTATTATGTATCTTGTTTCTAATTATTTTTTATTTTTTCAGACTCACAGTTGTGGATGGTTCCTATTGAGTTCTGTTCAGCAAAAGCCCCCAATGAGGTTGTCCATGAAGTGCTTTTAGACAAGAGCGAAGCAGAAGTTGTCATCAGTGGTATTGGGGAAAATGACTGGGTGAAGCTGAATCCTGGCAGTGTAGGCTTCTACAGAGTACAGTATTCCAATGAAATGCTGCAATTGTTCAAGCCTGCTGTTTCTAACTTGTCACTTCCACCATTGGATCGTTTAGGTCTCCTTGGTGATCTCTTTGCTCTGGTGAGTAGAGGCATTAAGTTGTAGAACTTTGCATTGTTAATCTTTCTTTTGCTCTCTATAAACCTATCTATCATTTCAGGTTCAATCTGGCCAAACAAGCACAGATCAGGCCCTTATACTTCTTGAGGCTATGCAGAATGAGCACAACTGCACTGTCTGGTCTTCAATGACTTCAGTGCTAACGAAGATCAGGATGTTGTTGCAGTATGCTGAGGATATTCAGCCAAAGTTCATGGCCTTTGGCCGACGTATGCTAGCTTTCATTGGGTCAACAATTTCTTGGGATCCTCGCCCAGATGAGGGTGAGTAAATAAATTAAAATTCTAAAAAGTATCTTCATATTCATATTACCCTGAACTTACCTTTTTTACTAATATCATTTTAATTATCATAGGTCACAAAGATAAATTGCTTCGCAATGTCATTCTTGATCTACTGTATGCATTTGAGGATGAAAATACTAGTGTTGAAGCACAGAAGCGCTTTGAAGCTCATAAGAATGGCACCACTCCTTTGTGGTCTGATATTCGTGGAACCGTTTATAAAACTGTCCTTAGAAGTGCTGATGCTGCCACTTATGAAACATTTTTGGAGGTAGGTTTGATTTTGCTTTGTTTTGTGTTTTTGTGTGTGTCTAGTCACTTTTCCCCCTTTTTCTTCTTTTGGTAATTTACTATTATGTAATTTTTATATCTAGCTCTATCGCCAAGAAACCCTTCAAGAAGAAAAGGAAAGAATTTTGTATGCTTTGGCAGCTATTAAGGATGACGACCTACAGGCCGCGGTTCTCAAATTTGCCCTGACTGTGAGTTGAAACATCCATGGACTAATCTTTTTAGAGAGAAATTCTGAATAAAACTAACCAGGGTTACCACTTGGCATCGGCATTATTGACCGCACTCCCCCTTCGGTCCAATCAATCAATGAAACTAACCATTCTTTTTGTTGTATTTTCAGGATGAAGTAAGAACGCAAACTACTTTAACACTTCTAGGTGCTATTGCTCAGTCTCGTAAAGGAAGAGATCTTGTCTGGAACTATGTGAAAAACAACTGGGATGAGATTCATAAGAAATATGTAAGTACCACATCATTCCTCCTCATTGTCTCTTGATTTCTGTTTACTCAGTGTACTGTACTCTGTACTGCACCCTGCTGAAGAGCATTTCCATCTTATTTACTCACTCTTATCTTCTCAGGGCACTCCTGTCATACTGTCTGGGTTCATCTCATCATCCTTCTCACATTATGCTTCAGAAGAAAAAGCTGTGGAAGTAGAGAAATTCTTTGCAGAAAACAAGACTAGCGGGGCTGAGCGAGCTGTACAACAAACTGTGGAGAGAATACGAATTAATGCAGCATGGCTGAAACGTGATCTTCCTTGCATCAGGGAGTTTTTACAGAAATTTTAATTGAATCTTTTGTCATATTCCTCATATGTGTGTAATTATTGGAAAACTCTTTTTTTAATTACTTAATGTAACCAAACAAAGAACCTTTTTGGAATTTTTCTTGAATTTAGTATTGGCTTGGGCCAATGTGTATATGTATATGTGTAGAATTTGATGAATTACTTATTGAGGTATGTTATCATGGGGTCAGCAAATAAGTTTTGTTGTAAAGCAATTTTAAATCATGATTATTTATTGTACCACAGGGTTAAAATCTAATCAAACTACAATACATTCATCTTCATTATCTTGGGCCTTCCTTATTTTCTACCTCGTCTACTTGAATTAGAAAACAGCTGGAGACTTTTATTATTCGCACAGAATTCAAATATGGAATTAAGCACAGACCTTGTACGATCTGCCTAAGAATTGTGTCTGTTACCAGGATTCAGTCAGTATTGCATTGTCTTGAAGTTCTACAGGCACTATAAAGTTTCATCACAGCAGCCTTTTTGTTAAAGGTTTTATTTTACAGAATGCAAGGAGTTACATTTTATTTTCTTTGGTTCTGTTAAAGATATGTTCCTTAATTCATATGCCTTCCTTAGGTGAAGGTAAAACATGGTGGATTCTGCTTCTTGAGATTTATTAAGTCATAATATTGAAACAGCCCTTGAAAAGAAAGCTTAATATTTAGTATCAGAATTACACATTACTTCTGACCAGCAGAAGAATGTTGATTGTTCTTTACAAAATAAACAAATTACAAAAGCATGTCAGGTTCACTAGGTAATAGACATGACATCCTAATATTACCTTATAAATATTATTGCTCTTGCACAAATGGCCATTGTGTAAGGGTAATGTGCAGTTAAAGTATTTGATGATATGCTGAGTCTGCCAAATAAATTATCTGAAGTGCTGTGCACAAATATGTACTGCCCTTTTTGAGGCAAGTGTTCAGCCAGTTATAAACCTAGATAGACCTGGGGAAGTAACTTTTCTTTGACTTTATAATTCTTTTGGTGTGCCTAGTGCTGCTGCACTTTGCGTCAGTCAGTTTGTGATGAATAATGTCTATTGCCTACACAAGCAATGATATAATGATATGTGAGCCCGCATAATAACATTGCTTAATAAAATGAACTGGCTACAATACTGACCCAAATTTTGCCAAGCATTATTTGACTGTTCCAAAGGAAGTCAGTTTGCCCATCAATATTGCAGATCAGCATCTGAGCAACAATTTTACACGGGTTTAATTCTCCTGTGCACTGAGTGGTACACAAGTCTTATTCTTAGATTGGAGATATGTTAGAAACAATTAGCCATTACATTTACAGTACTCATTATTGTCAAAACATCTTACTTCACACAGCCCATTCACACATGCCAGCTCAGTTGTAAGTTGTAATAGATACTAGGCCTAGCTTCCATTATAACAGCTATGTACCTTGTTGTTTGCGTACATTTTTAGATACTCATTTCCTTACTTATGCTTGGGAACGCTGCAATTTATGTAATCTAAGAAAAAAACAGTTTCCTGTCTGGAAATGAATAATTTTTTTGAGCTCTAGATCAGGCATTTATTGTGTTATTATGGCGTGGGCACCCTCACGCGGCCATGAGAGAGAGAGAGAGAGAGAGAGAGAGAGAGGGAGAGAGAACCCTCTAGCTTCGAGCGAGGCAGGCATGAACATCTACTCGTGTCGTGCCGTGTTGTGCAGGTTGGGCGAGGACGTGGACGTGGAGGCGGGCCGGCCGGGGACGGCGGGCAGGAGCCTCCTCAGCGGCGGCGGCCCCCCGGACAGGGGCAGGCCTGGCAGCAGGCGCGGGTGCTGGGGGGGCGGGCCGCCCTGGCCAGCGGGGGCGGCCGCCCCCTCGTACTCTCAGATGGCGTCGGCCTGCTCGGTCATCTCCAGCAGCGGCACCTCGTTGAGCGGCTGCATGGAGGGCTGCAGGCCGTGGAGGCTCTGCATGGTGGGCTGCATGGTCTGGAGGCCTCCCTGGAGGCACTGGAGCGCCCCGGGCCAGCCGGCCTGCAAGCACCATCACCACCATTGTCGTCGGGTCGGCCAGGAAAACGAGCGTTCGACACTGAGTCAGTGTGCACCAGCATGCTTTGTGTCAAGAAGTATGGCCCGTATCTAGGATCGAGCTGGGGACTAATTATGTTACTGTAATTATTTTTTTCGAGGAAAAAAAAGGGGTTTTGGACTGTAATTGATGTAGACTTAGGCACAATGTCGGCTGCGACTCCTGATGGATAGGCAGCCTATCTGACGAGTCTGTAGGCTTGGGCTTATAGGCCTACCGCCATAGCAATATGTGTATGCATTACAGCTATATGTATGTGCCAGAAAGCTCGTGATATCTACGTGTTCGAAATCGTTTACTCATGCAAAGCAACACAGGTGCTAAAAACATATTTAAAAAAAAAGAAAGCACACAATTTCACTAAAAATGAAAGTGTATTTCATTTTGTACATTCCAGTCTTTCCACTTCTTCAGCCCACCACAATAATCGGCCTACATATGAAACATACCCTCATTAGGACTCAAAGGGACGAACAAAAATGTGGAGTTAAATTATAAACAAGGTCAACAACAGTGTGTTGAGAGTGTATCCTACATATTAAAAGTGTTATTAAAATTAAAACTTAATTCTTAAGACGAGATGAACCTTTGGTTATGAGTTTAATATAGTCACATCCACGAACCACTTAGTGGACTCACACGACAAACGTCAGCGGTACTTCCCCTTCCAACTCTACATTACTTGGTATTCCAGACGGTGGGGTAGTCAGTGTGCGACAGCACACTTTAGAGGAGGGAAGTGAAAGGGAAACAGCGTACAGTAACGTTAATTCGGTGGTAAATCAATGCACAGCCTTATTGAACAGTTTATGCACCTTCTCTGCTCTTCACTTCAGTCACTTTTCCGCTCGATGACAGCTATTATTAAGTTCTAGGCCATCGGCGATAAAAAATTGAATACTGAGATGCATATAGTGAAGATTTTTCAGTCATCATTCAGACAAGGAACCACCACATTCCGCCCGCACTACATCCCCGAGCACAAAGCGCACCTTGACAACAACAATCTTTTATCACAATTGAATTGAAAGTATAAATGGTCCTAGTTACATTACCTAGCCCACAGTTCACTCAAACAAGTGCTGCCTATGTACGTGCTAAAATGTAAATGCGTTGCGGCGGAAACATTGACTAAATTCAGCTTGAAGCACAACAAAATGAGATCTATAGCAAAGCGCGCGCTGATACATTTATTTTATGATACTTTGCTCATTATATCAAAAAATATTACACAAATTTGGGCGAGGACACAATCAAGGTGTCCCCACAATGAACGTTTCACGAGGCGTTGCCCTCGATGAGCGCCTGCTGCGCGCTGGGTAGGCTAGCCCGCCGAGCAGCCGTGTGAAGACGGCGGCCCGCCCAGAGAGCGTTTGACGTGCAACGCACCACCTCGGGGGACGTTCATTGTGGGACCAAATTCAAAGGTGCGATCGCCGCAAAGAAAGAAGCGATAGAAGCTACAGTATACGACATTATCACATGCGGGGCGCTCTAGACCTACCGCCGGCGCCTCGTAATACGTTTGCTCGACTTGTTCGACAACGACAACATCAAAGACAACAACAGCAGTAGCGTGGGCTCGCGAGTGCTCTACTGCTCGTGGCACTTGGCCGCCGCGGCTACCTGCTGGCCCCACGAGTACAGAGGCTGTGACTGCGGCTGCTGCCACGGGCTCCCGCAGTCGCTGATGTGGCATGCAGCGGCCAGTGTGTGGGGCAAGGCGTTCCAGCACTGCTCCCCTGCGTCCTGGGTCTGCTGCTGAAGCTGCTGCTGTTGTTGTTGCTGATGCTGCTGTTGTTGCTGTTGCTGCTGCTGCAGTCCGAGCTGTTGCTGTTGCAAGTGTTGTCCGTACGCCAGCGGCGGCACGTTGGGTAGCAGCCGACCGCAGCCTCCGGGCCAGGGGTGCTGAGGGAATTCCGGGCTCTGCACGTCCTCGGCGATGGTCGGGAAGCAGGCGGCATCCGCCAGGGCGGGCGGCAGTGGCGGTAGGATTTGCGTCTGCTGGGCCAGCTTGTAGGAGGCCTGGCGCAGCATCTGCCGCCGGCTCAAGAGCAGCTGACCCGGGTTGGGCGCGTTTCCGCTCACCCCCTGGGCGCCCACCACCCCCGCCCCGGCCTCCGCGCCCGCCGACTGCTGCTTCTGCAGGATCTGGCGCTTGTGCTGCAGCAGGCGGTGCTGGAGGAGCTGCTGCTGCATGCCCATGTTGTTGAGCTTGCCGCTGCCGCCGCCGCCGCCCGGCGGGCACGGAGACGAGGACGGCGATGGGGAGGCGCTACCCGAGTTGCTGGAGTTGCCGGACGCGTTGTTGTTGCCGTGGCCGCCCAGGTTGCCGTTGAGGGGCGCGCTGTTGTCCAGCTGGGCCTGGAGCTGCTGTTGTTGCGCTTGGAGCTGTTGCTGTGCCTGCTGGAGCTGATGTTGCATTTGCTGAAGCTGTTGAAGTTGGAGTGACTGCTCCTGAGTGAGTACTGGCTGCTGTTGCTGTTGTTGTTGCTGTAGTGGTGGGGCTGCAGACTGCGCCGGGGACTGTTGCTGTTGCTGCTGTTGCTGCTGTTGCTGCTCGCCGTCGAGGCTCGAAGAGAAGTTGAAGTTCTCCGGCAGCGAGATGCGCTTGGGCAGCGCCTGCATGCCGGTGCGCACGGCGTGGTCCTGGTACTGCGAGTGCTGCTGCTGCTGTTGCTGCAGCTCCTCCTGCGGCACGGCGCGCTGGTACAGGTTCTGCAGCGCGGCGTGCTCCTGCTGGACGAGGTGCAGCTCCATGACCCCCTTGGCCTTGCCCGCCTCGTGCAGGCGCTGGCTGTTGAAGGCCAGGTGGTGCTGGCCGGGCGTGAGCGCGCCGAGCCCCAGGCCCAGCCCCCCCGCGGGGCTCAGCCCGTGCCCCAGACCCAGACCAGCGCCGTACACCGCCCGCTCCGAGGCGCCGCCCGCCGCCTGCTGCGCCACGAGCCCGTCGGACGCCCGACGGCCCTCCCGGAAGTCGACCGGCGACCTGGTGAGGGCCCGCGACGACAGCCCCGTGACCCCCATGCCGCCGTGGCCGCCGTGGCCGTGCAGCAGGGGACTGTGGCGGAACAGCGGCCTGCTCGTCACGGAGCTGCCACCGTTGGTCGAGTACGGCGTATGGATGGCGCTCGTGCTCGCGGGCTCGGTGCTCCTCAGCGTTGTGTTCGCCACGCTGGCCGCGGACGTGCAGCTGGGCAGGCTGGTGGCGAGTTCGGGGTCGAGCTGGTAGTCCAGGCTCTCAAACAGGAACTCTGAGCACGACGAGTCGGAGCTGAGGTGCTGGCTCAGGCTCTTGTTGACGGTGCCCGCGCCGTTGCCGCTGACACCGCCCACGCCCGAGGACGACGACGAGGACGCGTACGAGGACAGGCGGTGGTGATGCGAGCCGAGGGAGGGCGCGTGAGACGACGCCGTGTCCTCCATATCCGTCTCCACGCCCTCGTCCGTGGACGTGGAGCACTGCGGCGTGATGGACGCCGAGCCGTACCGCGCGCTCTGCAGGTACTCGGACATGACCTCGGTGGAGCCGGGGCCGACCGACGTGTACTGCTGCTGGGGCTGCTGCTGCAGGGTGGCCTGCTGCCCGAGCTGCGTGGCCTGCTCCCGGAAGGGGGGCGGGTGGTGTGCGTTGGCGAGGGGCAGGCGCGCGCCGGACGCGCCGAAGACGCCGCCCCCGGAGAACGGCGACGTGTCGACGGCTTGAAGCGACGGTGTGGGCGAATGCGAGGCGCCGGCCGGGACGCCCTGCATGAAGGGGTTGCTGGGGTTGGGGTAGGGCGTGTAGTCGCGGAAGTCGTGCGGGGTGTGCTGCGGCGTGTGCTGCGGCGTGTGCGACGGGGTGTAGGACAAGCGGCCAGCGCCGCCCTGCTGGTCCCCGGAGCCGGACCCCGACACGGAGCCCGAGCCGGACGCCCTCCTCGTCGTCGACGTGACGGAGGCGCCAAGGCCCGCGCCAGCGCCGTGCACCGTCACCGTGGACCCGCCCAGGTCCGAGGTTCCCGACGAGGCCGCGGACAGAGAGTGTCCAGTCTGGCCGACCTGCGAGTAGGTGAGCCCTAGCTTGCGCATGGCCTGCTCCGCGATGGTGCTCGGCCGGCGCCGCGTCAGGGACTCGGAGCGCTCAGCGGCGTGCTTGGCCGGGCTGGGGATGGGCGACGGCACTCCGGACGCGGGCGACGCCGACCCGGCCCCCTCGTGCGGCTGCTGCTGTTGCTGGAAGGAGAACGACCGGCCCTGGTGGTGGGCCTTGACGCGCTCCAGCAGCAGGAAGTAGATGGCCGCGTGGTGGTCGTAGCTGTTCCGCATCAAGGACTGCAACACATCAGCAGACACGTTAGCCCGGGCGCGATCAACGCCGTGCTCACGGCCGCGGTCCTCGGCACGCCATGTACTCACGTCTCGGGTCTTGACCGAGTCGATGCCCAGGCTCTGCATGAGCCGCAGGATCTGCTCGTTGGGCTCGGGCCGCAGGGGCAGCGGGCCCATGGGGCCCATCGGGTCCGGCGCGCAGTTGGGCAGCAGGTGCGGCGGCTCGGCCAGCATCCACCGGTGGCCCTTGATGTCCTCCACGGTGTAGCGGCGCGCCGGGTCCAGCACCAGCATCTTGCGAATCAGCGATTCGCAGTCTGCGACAATGTAAATGGAATTTCGGTGAAACACGAGCGACGGGGGAAAAAATCAATAAAACAGAAAGGTCACGTCGAAGTTAAAGATAAATGCAGAGATTCGCCTCGCCAGCCACGCAGCTCGCTGCTCGCTATCGCATTATGATGCACGGTTGACAGCAGATCGCGGCGTACGTCACGATGGCGGGCGGGGCGGCGGGCGGCCTCACCCACTAAAGCTCCTCATCTCTGTATGCATAGCGCCTGTTCGGCCCGGCGTTCCGTTCGCCGGATAAATTATGGATCGTGAAATACTGCATTGCTCTCTCGTCCAGCCCCGCCAGGGGGTTAAGGCATGCTCGCCCCGCCCCCCTCTCCACCGCCGGCAGCAGTGCTCGTATCAAACTGAAACAACAAAGGGGGTCCGGGAGGGAGGGGGAAGGGGGGACGGGCGAGGGCACACGGACTGTAGCCCCGCGCCAGACGGGAGGAAGGGGGAGGGGCGAGGTTAAGTGGAAGAGTGTCGTGAGGGGAGAAGGGGCGAGATATGCGGGTCCTCTCTCCGACGTCAATGTCACGAGTGATGGGCATGTTTCAGCCCCCCCCCCCCCCTCTTCCCCTTTTCCTCCCTCCCCTCTACCCTCTCAACCGACACCCCGCCGCGGGACCGACCGGGCGACGGCCGTGGAGGTGACGGCTCCATCAGGACGAACCGGCGCGAGGGTGCAGCCCCTGCAGCCCCGTCTGCACCATGTCTCTCTCTGTCTGTTTCTCTCTCTGTCTCTCCCCCCCCCCCTTTCCCCTACTGCTATGGGCCGCTGAGCTGATGGCTGCTTCACTTCGGAAAGGGACACGAGAGGACGCGCAACGAAGAAGAGAAGGGAGGGGGGGGAGGTGGCAAAGGTGTGACGTCAAGGGAAGCAGATATTACCGGCTCAAGTCGCACCCCATTCGCGCTCTCTCTCTCTCTCTCTCTCTCTCTCTCTCTCTCTCTCTCTCTCTCTCTCTCTCTCTCTCTCGCACGCACGCACCGCCTTATAGCCGCCGCTCCCGGCTCTCGCTGCACCAATAATAAACCGACTAAACGCGAGTGAAAATAAAGAAAGAAGAAACGTTTTGCGCGCGAATGACGCGGAGCGCGACGGCCCAGCCGAAGGGGGGGGGGGGCGGTTATGAGTCGCTAAAATTAAAGTTGCAGAGGCCAAGACCCAGAGAGGACGCTCCAAATTTAGAAGGCAAAACATGCGGACAGCGCGCGGCGCGACGGACGCGTGATGGTCGGTGAGGAAGCCGCGCGACGAACCCGCCGTCGTCCCGTGATGACGGAAGTGTTGTGGGGCGGTGGCGCCATGCCATGCCGCCCAGCCACAGCCGCAGTCAGTGTTGCAAGGTAAAGTAGGATACCATTCCTAAGAATACACCGGTGCGTAGCGGGCTGCGTCGACGCCCGCCTACTAGGCCACATTCAGACACCTGAGCAGAGGGGTTGCCTAGAGGGCAGGCGCTAGACGCTACCCACCATCACATTGCGTGTGCGTCGGAAATTATTCGCCTACTTTATCTGACAAAAGTGCCACAAACCCCGCCCCTATCCCCGGTGACGTGCCTCACCTTCGCTCATGAAGTACGGGATGCGGAACCTTCCGGACAGCACCCGGTCGCGCAGCGAGTGCAGCGTCGAGCCGTCGAAGGGCAGCGCCCCACACACCAGCACGTACAGCACCACGCCCAGACTCTGCAAAAGAGACGGGGGGAAGAAATGTTTAATCATTGTTTTCAAAGAGTAGTAGTGCATGTACGGGAAAAAGTCAAGGGATCCATTCCTCAAGAAAAAAAAAATCAATGTACACTCTCGAAAAAATCAGGAAAAAATCATGGAAAAATCACTAAAACATCAGAAATTATATGACAGAAATTTAGAAAAAAAAATCAAGAAAAAAAAAGACAACAGCAAAATCGTTGTACGCTTGAATTTATAGTGAAGTGCCCATCGGTAAAAGTACATCATGTGTCTGCGGTTCATATCAACCACCGTGTGGCAATCGCTGCGGCTGCCGCACTCACCCAGATGTCGATCTCCGGGCCGGCGTACTTCTTGCCTTCAAACACCTCGGGAGCGGCGTACGGTGGCGACCCGCACCACGTGGCCAGCTGCTCGCCGGGCGTAAAGTAGTTGCTGAAGCCGAAGTCCGCAATCTTCATGTTCATGTTGGTGTCCATCAGCAGGTTCTCGGCCTAAAGCGAAAAAATAAAAACAAAAGGAAAAGGTGAGACGAATTCTGAGTTTTAAAATGGAGGAGTTAGCAAGACATTTTAAATGCACGTTACAATTGTGTGCAAACATGACCAGAGATAACGTGCAATCTATGTAATAGGACGTCGGCCGCAATCATTACTCTAAAGTACAACGACCGGAGTGCAAAATGTCTCATTTAATTCGGACCGCGAAAAAGGTTCGTGTCGCGCTGCGCGCAAACCCCCTTCCCCCGTCCTAAATCGCATGGCGATGTGGCCCTACCCTTATCGCGGGCCGCAGATGTTTACCGTTGTTCTCTCCCCACAGCCCCACACAGACCTGTTCTATCCCCATTTTACCCCCCGGCATCCGCACTGTTATAAATAAATTTTATAAGAAAAGGGGAGGAAACGGAAAAGTCATTCGTACGTAGTTGGTAGTCCGAAAATTACAAAATGGCTGGACCACATATTACACAGACCCACGAGGGGGTATCAACTTGCGTAGTATTCTGCGTTATTACGCGGTATAATGCGCAATCTTGTACGTAATGGAACTACAAACCGAGGGGTGAACAACTCGGCTGAGCTGGGGACAGATGAATATATTACAAAGTAATATTGGGAATACGAGTAATACAAAAATTACGAGTATTACAGATAATATCAAAGTATTACAAGTATTATAAGGTATTACAAGGTATTACAATGAATTACAAGATATATTACAAAGGTATTACGAAGTATTACAAGGTATTACAAGGTATTACAAGGTATTACAGGGTATTACAGGGTATTACAGGGTATTACAGGTATTACGAGTAATACAAGTAATACAAGTAATACTTGGTAATACAAATAATATAAAGTATTACAACGTAATACAAGGTAATATTGCGTAATATTGCGCAAGTAATATATGGTAATACAAGGTAATACAAGGTAATACATGGTAATACACGGTAATACATGGTAATACAAGGTAATACAAGGTAATATACACGGAATACAAGTAATATCAGGTAATACAAAGTAATACAGGACCCCGGGACAGAGGAATACACGAGATGTTCACCCCTCGCTACAAACAGTACAAAATATGCTCAAAAACGGTAGAACTTTTGCGAGCAATGCAGGCGTAAAACCGCGTAATATAATAGTCTGAACATGAACATCAAAATTTGGGAGCTGTTACCCCCTTGCATACAAGCAGAAAGGGAGAGGAGGTCGAAAGGGGGGGGGGGTGACTGAGCACTGGTGGGTTATTCACCGACAATTCGAATGCGTTCCCAGACGACGCGATGAGAATGAGAGTCCCGTTGGGTCATACGACCCCCCCTCCCCTCCCCACATACCCCTACGGTCACCACCCCCGGGGGAGACCAAACCCCAACAACAATTTATAGTCCTCACGCGCCACGCGGCGCCGGCTGTGCGGGGGCGTGTCGTGTGCCAACGCATGGCAGCGAAGGTGAGCAGCAAGATTAGGGGCGTGGCACGGGGGAAGGGGGTTACTGGACTGGCAGCCGACCCCCGGGGTAGTGGGGGAGGAGGGCGGGTGAGGGAGCGAGGCAGCAAGGCACGGGGGAGGGAAGGGGTTGCCCGAATGTGCGTCATCACAGGGAAGAGAGGGGGTCCGACCGCGCGCGGTCCAAGGGAAGGAGAGAGAAACCCCCCTCCCCCACCACCACTCTCCTCTCTCTTTTCCCCTTGTCTCTCCCACCTTCCCTTCCCCACTTTACCCCCCACAGAGTGTCCCGTAGCAACGGTCTCACCTCCTCGGACCCGCGGTTGGCTGGCCCGCGCGCTGCTCCTCCAGTTCGGCAAAGTAAACTTGCACAAACTAACTGTTGTAGTTCGCGGCTTCAAATACCCGACGACAAACGACCCTGTCCACCGCAACGACAGTCCGTTTGTCCGACTATACCGCCGTCCGTCTTTCTCGTCACACTGTTAAATTTCCACGACATCGCACATTGTCTTCTGTTTGTTTGTATTGAGCTCAAGGGTTTTTGTGAGAGTTTGTTTAAAACCAAAAACCAGAAACCCTTTTTACTCGCCTGCCACAGCCTGCGCACCTTACATAGTCTCGAAAATGCGCGGTACGCGTAAAGAAACTTGCGCGACTGTCGGCGATTAGACTCTCTGGGAGAAGCTGGGCGGAGCGCGCGGCGGGGACACGGCACGAATTCCACGACTCAGCGGGGAGCCATGAGGAACTTTGGCCTTTGGCGTGGGGGGTAAGGGGGTAAGGGGAGGAGAAAGGGGGTTGGAGCTCAGCGCGCGCCGACAGACCAATCTGAACTGGCATTAATTTTCACTCCCGTACAGTACCCTCAGCTTTTTTTATTTTTTACCACCCCCTTCTCCTTATTTCCCTGCAAACGCCGCTGCCGCCGGGGCTGCTCGTTCAAGAAAAAGAAAGAAAATAAATGGCAGTATATAGTTTTGTACACAGGCTGCAGTCGTAGCCTGGAGCTTCTTGGCGCAATTAAATACGAGAGTGCGGGGGCGGGGTCGCAGAGGCCAGAGCGAGAGAGAGGAATGCACGCGGGAATGCAAGTAGAGAGAGAGAGAGGGGGGAGGGAGCATGGAGCTGAGTTAGATTTCCTGATAAATGTTTCCAGGGAGAGCATCATCTCATCCTCTCTTGACGGATGGGCCACTTTCCTCTTACCCCCTTGCTCTTCAGCCCCCCCCCCCCTTCTCTGACGCGCGCTAGCGAGTGTGTGAGTGTGAGAGAGAGTGAGAGAGCGAGAGAGCGCGGTAACGTATGCATGTCCCTGTGTCTGCCATGATGGAGTGGGTCCAGTGCTGTGCTGGACCGCCCCCACCCCCGCCCCCGCCACCTCAAACCAAACCCCATTCCACTCCAGCCCCGAGAGGTGGATGGGAGAGGGGAGAGAGAGGAGAGAGAAGAGAGAGAAGAGAGGAGAGGGAGAGGGGAGAGGGGAGAGAGAGAGAGAGAGAAAGAGAGAGAGAAAGAGAGGAGAGAGAGAGGGGAGAGAGGGCCGTTCTTCTTCCGATTCAACTTATTCCAGGCGCGCCGCGTTGTTATCTCAGCAGCCGCTGTACCCAGCAATAAATATCCCGCGTCGCGATGATGGCCTCATTTTCGCAGTGTGCCCGGCGCTCGCCGCTCGCACTCGCCTTATTAAAACAGAGAAGGTGCGGGGAAAATACGGGAGGCGGGGAGACGCCAGCGGCAGACCGACTCTCGTGGAAAAAGAATAAAACGAAGAGTGGTGTGTTTATTCTATTTTATTTTTTTGGCTAAAGAATCTTAATAGGGTTCTGGAACACGAATGATACCGCTAGCTTTTCCTCTTTACTTTCCCAGTCCGTCAGTCCGTCCCTCCGTCCCTCCGTCCATCCGTCCGTCCGTCCGTCCGTCCCTCCCTCCCTCCCTCCCTC